AAATTTGTTTCACTGCAACTGGAGGAATGGAGGCAAGAAGAGTCATATATAGAGATTCTTATCAGGATTTGGGGCAGGGGGAGATAATCAGGATGTCAAAGTTATATATTGGATAACCTCTATCATTTCCAAGAAAGAGGCAACATTGCTGAGAGGATAAAGAAGTGATGATTAAAGAGGCTAAAAGGTTTAAATAGCTGCTGTGTAGAAGAGCTGAGGAACTGACTGGACTGAGAAGGGCATTGTCGTGGGAATAGGGAACGGCAACAGCCTGCAGAGCCAGATACCTTCACGACAGACAGTCTAAGAAAGACATAGGGGGAATCAGACATTTTACCTAAAATATCTTCTAAACCTTGTTTTTATTAAATGTATTCTTTGTTTTCAGTTAAATTTTGAAGTTAAGAAAAGTTACCAAAATTAAAATATATTTACCAAAAATATCTGTCATAAATTTGAAAACATTAAAAAATGAAATAAACTTTTGAGGAAATAATATTTTATCCCAAAGAAGAGGGGAAAAATCTCATCTTAATCACACTTAAACAATCTTTTTTTAAAAAAATCCCAAATCCATTTGAAAAATAGTATTCTTGGTTTTGTTCTGAAAAATAGTTGTCTTGGTTTTTGTTCTCTGCGTAAAACCTAAAGTACATATGAATAGCCAGCAGAGGGCGCCAAAACCATGCATGTATTTTTTTTTCTCTATAGCTTTTAGAAAACTGGATTATTAAAAATTATAAAATGCAAATAATCCTTATTTTCAAGGATATATGTAAAAATAATAGCAATAATATAATTTAGTGCTATCCCGCTGCCAAGTGCTGTATGGAAAAATCCAAAGCTGGAAAGAGATTCTGAATTTGAACCAGTTCAAAGTGAAAGCATTCCTCTCTCCCTCTCTCCCTGCCTCTCTCTTACTTTCTTTCTTTCTCCTGGGATTTGTTTGTAGTAACTCCATAAAAACAAGGTAATTCCTATTCTATTTCAGTTGAAAAATTTTGTTGTAGCAACACTTTTTCAGTTCCCCTTGCAGAGAGCATTATTGGTTACAGTTGTATTGAAAAGAAACATGAGGGCCTTCACTTAGGCCTCTTAAATCAGACCTTAGGTGTATCTCAGGATAGAGAAAGAACAAGTTATTTTGTGGAAATTTGTTAAAAAGCAATTTGCTGCAACAACATACATGTGTCTCTCCATTTTCTGGATAATACCTGCATTAGTTAGGGTGTTTTGTTTATAAGCAAGAGAATCCAACTTTGACTAAGGGGGAAAGGAATTTACTGAAAAGATAATGGTTTATACTATTCTGTCAATAACTTATAATTAAAATTTTGGGGAAGATAGTTAATAATTAAAACTGATAAAGAGCATATTCTGTACCACTTTATGTGTACAAATTTGAAAATTTAGATAAAATTGATAATTTCTAGAAAAATATATATTATATATATATAAGAAAAATAGAAGAAGGAATATAACTATTTAAAAAAAATGTATTATTTAAAATCTTCCTATTAAAAAAAAGAAGACAAACAACCCCTCCATGCCCAAATGGCTTCACTGAGAAGTTCCAACAAAAACTGAAGGTTGAAAAATTTCATCTGAAATGATAGTGAGAGGAAGATAATCTTTGAAAACTATAAACTGTCAACACAAAAATAAACATTTTTCAAATTGAGTATGAGGCTTAAGTAGTAAATTATTTATTGTTAGTAGTAAATTGTTTATTACAGTGATGAAAAGAGAGCCATTTCCTTTTCACAAAGTGAAGAAAAATACCGTGGAAAAAGCAGAATTTTAGGAAATCTGTGAATATGAAAAAGTATTCTAAATCTAGGATTAAAATATGTATTCTGAAAAAGAAAAATTGTATAAAGACTGCTTGGGTTAGATCATCTATATCAACTATTGTCCTAAACAACCTCAAAACTATCTTCTGCTGTGGTAGACAACACAGAAAATGAAAGAAAAAAAAAAAACCTGAAAAGAGAAGACAGGAAAAAGAGAAGACATAGGATTTTGAAGTATTTTATAGAAGAATATGAGCTAATCTAAAGTACCCAATTATGGTGTCAACAAATGCTGGACAATGAAGAAATCCACACAGCAAATGGCACCTCTTTGCAGGGCCACTGTGCTGTACACCTCTAGGGGGCGTAGTTGGCACTGAACAGTAGTCTATATAAAAGGCACCCTCTGGACTTAAGTAGCAAATAAGCTGCATGGCTAAACACCAAGGCGTTGCTCATGTAAATGTGTAAGTTTCCAAGGCATTACAGAACTACAGTCTGTGACATCCACAAAATATCCAAGACAGCATTGTTTACTTTCCAGAAAAGCAACAAATAAAGATATTAAAAGAGGGGCTCAATTACTTTTCTGTGAGTTAGCATCCCAAGGTCTATACCTGCCATGGATCTAGGATATCATTGGGTGAGGGGGGTGGGTATCAGAAGGGGAGGTACAGAAAGATTATCTCAGACACTGTATAGATAGTCTTTAACTCTTACAAATGAGACTCGAAGTTGTCATGCAAATTCATGTGATATGTCATTCCAGTCCCAAATCCTTGCATAAATGGGCAAAGGGTGGCTTGTCTAAATCCTTCGGTATGTACCAGTTTATATTTAAATAACCTTCTGTGAAATAGCTTTCCTTCAATTTCTATACATATTCATGAAGACACACCGTCAGCATTGAAAGATAGCCAAGCAGAAAAGAGAAAAATCCTATCACAATGACAAGACAATTTCCTTGGTTAATGTAATCAGATAGCACAGCTACATTTTTTGGTTAATCTGAATGTAGTTCAAATAGCTAAAGAGCTTTATTCACTTTGTGACAAAAATTAGACTCTTGCAAAATAAGTTTCTGACAATTCACATAAATTTATTTTTGCAATAATCATTTAGTGTAGGAAGCTTTTGGAAAAAATGCATTGAATTGGCATTAGATCAAGATGAAATAACCTGATTTCTAAAAATGCACTACATCAAATGCTTTCCCAGGCTTCCATCAAAGCAGTCTGAGGTGTCTGCTTAGTAATTATGCAAGTTTTTACTTCAGTTCATTTTTTGCTTTACTTGGAAAACTTACCAACATAATTTGCCAACATACTTTTTAAACCAGATTATTTTAAGCCAGATTACTTTATCTAATGCCTAAGACTGAATGACAAGCGAGACAGAAGGGAAGGAGTCTTTAATGCCAACTTGCCTGGGATTAAGTTTTAGTAGGAAAATAGGACTGCTGAGGATATAACATAAGGCATTTCTGGGGGATGCTTGGAGCTCTGGCTCAGGTGGGGCAAAGGAAATATCTGTAACCTAAACATTTGTACCCCTGTAATGTGCTGAAATTTTAAAAAAATTAAAAAATTAAAAATAAAAATATGGATTCCCAGATTTCATCCCTTGAGGTTCTAAATCCTAAGATTTGGGCTGGAACGCAGGAGTGTGTGTTATTAAAAACACGGATGAATTTTAGGATTGGGCCAAAGTGGTGTTACAGAAGGAACACTGATCTAGTCACGGTGTGAAAAACCCGTGCTGCCATCTCTTCTGTGTGTCCTTGCCCAGGCCATTTAATCTCACTAGGTCTAAACTTCCTCAGCTGCGAAAGTAAAAAACAAAACAACAACAACAAAAAGAGGTTTGGTTTCAGTCAATAAACCCTGTGAGGGCGGGAACCGGGTGGAGTTTGCTCAGTGCCCTGCCCCTGCCACCTGGCACGGAGCAGCTCTCCACTGGCGTCTGCTGGCTAATTTACTATTTAGATGAGCTGGAAAGTTCCTTTGGCTTTAAATTATACGATTCTAAAGTAAAGAAGTAATAAAACAATGCATTGGGTCCACCAGTTACAAAATAATAATTATTCTCAAAATAAAGCAAAGTGTAAACCGACAAAGGCCCTACTCCTTGTTCCTGGTTGCCCTTTCCCGGTGAGCATTTCAAAGGTTACACCTTGGTCACTGGATTTCACGTCCTCCCTGGGCTGTGACGGTGAGAGGTGACACATGGGAAGCACTTAGCACAGTGTTTGGCTCACTGTAGAAGCTCAGAACAAGTGAACTCAATCAGGAAAACACAGTAAATCCTGCGGAAAACGACACAGAAGAATGCAAATTCTCTTGCTACGTGGACAGTCGTACTGTAGTCACAGCATAATTTTTAGGGCTTTTGTCACTTTAGTCCTAAAACATACTGTCGGGTAACAAATCCAGAATTGTCAGAAACCTTCCCTGGCACATGGAGATTGTACAGAAACAAGTATTTTTGAAACTGATTATAGAGGAAAAATAAATCTGGAAAACTCTGCTTATAACATTTCAGATTTATTTTAAAACCAAATGCTCTTATTTATTTTTGAAAATTTATTAAATTACTCAATTTAAATACTTCCTTATGTTATGTATCTTATCTAACTTAGAGAAACGGTTCTCAAAGTGTAGTTCCCCACAGTGGAGCATCAAAATCACCTGGGAATGTGTTATAAATGCGAATTCTTAAGCCTCTTCCCAGACATAAGGAGTCAGAAACTCTGGGTGTGCAGTACAGAATCTGTGTTTTAATGAGCTCTCTGGGTGATTCTCATGCACACTAATGAATGGGAACCACTGACTTAGGGTAAAAAAGACTGGCATAAAAAGTGAATTCAAAGAAGGCTGAATTCAATTTTCCATATGCCTCCTACAATGTATCAGAAACAAAAAGACTACAACAGGTATCTAGTCAACTGTTTATTGACACATTCAATTAGCAAACATACAACAAACGATTTTTGTATAATAAGTTTCCTCCCTTTGAAAAAAATCCTGAAATACTGATCTTGAAGTTTTGGGAAAAAAATGTAAATCCCTGGCTTTTAGGATATTCAAGTCCTAATCTCTTAATGTTATAAGTAAAATACAAATTTGTAATAAAAATATTATCAAGCATTACCAAATCTAATTTTAAAATTATTAAAAACATGAACAATAGAAAATATGGCTATGGATATACAGTACAAAGTCACAAGGACTTTTATTTTTAATCCAAGTGGCAACTCTGATTTAGAACTCACGAAGTATAAGATTCTAAGGATAGCTAGATATTACAAACGTATGATTCCACGTTCTACGTAAGCAAAGCTCTTGGCTACGGAGTTCTGAACATCTTACAGCCACATTCTCTCAAGAATCAGCAAACTGGGAAGAGATGTTTAATTTGAAGGCCCAGTAGACACGGGGTGCTGGTGAGAGACACCCACCCGTCTATTGTCACACCCTACAGTCACACGTTAAGGAAGTTGACAAAACACGGTAAGAAGGTATGGAATTAATGCCCACTCGAGATTGCTCCGCAGCTTGAGAGAACAGGAGTCCTGAGTATGTTTTCCCAACATTTTCCCAAGCCCTAAAATTCACCCAAGAGGAAGAGGCCGACTTAAGCATATAGGAAGGAACAGATCCGTGCGTGCATAACAGCCCTAGTCAGGAATATTAAACGGCAGCGAGCTGATGACGTCGCCTGCTTCGGTGACGATGGCGTCATACACCCAGCGCCGGCTGCAGCGGCACTCAGGGCCACACTTGTTGGAGTTGCACTTGGGGCAGGGGTAGAAGCAGCCCAGGCAGTTCTTCTCCAGGCAGTCGCACAGGTCCGCCTCGTTGCAGAGTAGCCTGCCGCTCTTGTCGTACTTCCTCCTAACTCTGCAAAGGAAGAGCGTCACGCTAGCATGACAGTGCCGTTGTCCTTGACGTCGAGAATAAACTATTGTGCAGCAAACTTCAGACACACGACCCTTTTACTCTGAGGGACCAGCCCCCTAGAGATTACCCAGAAACACTCCAGGATACTCTACGGCAGTGATGTCGTGGGGGATTCAATCAATATGCAGTCAATTTCCAGCACAGCCAGGCTTGTCATCTAGAGTAACACTTTATTTTTCCAGTATTGCTGGAAATGTAACAAGCCACCTAAGAAAATGATGAGGAATAGCTGACTAAAGCTTCCTCCTACAAATCCCCCAATTTTTTTCTTTAAAATCTGACCATTCTTGATGGATTTTTTCCCCTAATAGATTACACTCTTTTTTCTTTCTTTATTAAAAGCATTATACTGAATACAACTACTATGTTTCTTTTTTTTTTTTTTTTTTTTGAGACAGAGTCTCACTTTGTTGCCCAGGCTAGAGTGAGTGCCGTGGCGTCAGCCTGGCTCACAGCAACCTCAAACTCCTGGGCTCAAGCGATCCTCCTGCCTCAGCCTCCCGAGTAGCTGGGACTACAGGCATGCGCCACCATGCCCGGCTAATTTTTTTGTATATATATTAGTTGGCCAATTAATTTCTTTCTATTTATAGTAGAGACGGGGTCTCGCTCTTGCTCAGGTTGGTTTCGAACTCCTGAACTCAAACGATCCGCCCGCCTCGGCCTCCCAGAGAGCTAGGATTACAGGCGTGAGCCACCGCGCCCGGCCAACTACTACGTTTCTTAATGACTCAAGATGAGAACTGCCACTTACTACACTATAATCATTTAAAGAAAGAAAAACTCCTTTGCTAACAGTCTCCCAGTGCCAGTTTTTTCTGTTCTTTTCTGATTCTGTTTCTCACCCAGCATGGCAGAGAAAGCAGGTGACAAGATGGTAGGACCACGCATCACGAACTCTGAGCGAAGGCAAGGCGTTCTGTGCCGCAGGAGGGCACCACAGTCGAGACCTGGCCTGGAAGTCCCACATTCTTTCCGCCAGCCTCTGTAACGTGCCCAGGGGCAAAGGACTGTCACAGGGATTCCACCACCCTCTCAAAACCAAATCATTCTGAAGTAAATCCTTCAAACTTGGCTGTTTGAAAGTCTTAGAACAACAAAAACATCTCTGTACAACTCATATCCATTATTACCAGTTGAAGTCCTAAAGGCTGGCCCTAAGCTGGTGTGGTAAAGTTATGTGCTTCTGCACCTTTGTCCCTCAGCAGACATATCCTGCCCTCTCCTCCTGTCCAGGTAAGCAATGCTATTCTGTCCTTCGCTTTCCTGATACCCAGGCCAGGGTGAGGATCAGTCACTATCTATGCTTACTGCCTGATAGTCACACTCCAGCAGGAACGCCTTCTAATGAGGATTTACATGGAAAGTGCTTCGTCTGTGGAATGAGACGGTTTTCAAGTCCCCAGGAAATTCAGCAGAAGAGATTTGAAATCTATTAAAGGAAAGGTGGGGGTGGATGGTTCTAAAACCAACCCAGAGCACGGGTCCCATTCCACCCTTCTCTCTTTGCCTTAACCCAAACACTCCCCTGCCTCGACTCAGACATCAAGACACAGATTTTATGGTTTCCTGCCCATCTGATGCTGTCTTTTATAAAATTCTGAACTATCACACACATAAAAGTGTGCAAACATATGCTACATGCATAAAGAGGAATAAAAACTTCTGTGTGCCCACAGCCCGGCTTAATAAGAATATGACAGCTTTTCCTGTTCATGCCCCACCCATTGCTTCCCTCTACCCAGCCCTCCAAAAGGAACAAAGCCTTGATGTTATAAAAATCACTTCCTTGTTTTACTTTAAGTTATGCCACATATGTATGTATCCCCAAGAACACTGTAATTTTTCTTCCATAATTTGCTTTTTTATGCTTCACCATGATTTGATATTTTTCCATGGTGGTACATGTAGCTGTATTCAAATATTTTCCACCTCTATACGTATTACACTGTATGGATATACCACAGTTATTTATGTTTTCTGTTATTATGGGCATTTGGATGATTAACACTATGTTCTTTGCTATAAAAGTGATGCTATGAAACTTTTTAAACGTGTCTCTGCTCATACAGGTATAAAACTCTTCCCAGGATACATAGCCAGGAATGGAGACATTAGGTCCTAAGGCACATTGGTAATGCCAAGCTGTTTTTAAATAGTGGTTGTACTATTTTACACTCCAATCATGTCCCATAGCTTCATCAATTTTGATATCATCAGACTAAACTCTGCCTATCTGGGGAGTATGGTGCTTCTCCATAGTGTACTGATGAGGTTCAGTATCCCGAATATTTATTTCTTAGCTGTTTCTTCCATGAAATGCCTGTTTATAATTTTATTAATTTTTGTGTTAGGATGTTTATACTTTTCTTATTAACTTTTAAGATTCTTTATGTATTTTGGATGCTGATTTTTTTAATATGATAAATAACTCCTCCCACTTAGTGATTTGTCTTTCGGTGTTTTTAGGATATATTTTAATGGGTATAAGTTGTTAATTTTGATGTATGATTGACTTATTTTATGCTTCTGAAGCACTAACAATCATTGTACTTCCTGGTAGCCCAGAAGAGATTGGATATTCTGAGCCCATTCCTGTATTTCCCCTCTACTGATACATTTTTGTTACCTTTTTTTTTTTTTTGAGACCGAATCTCGCTCTGTCCCTTGGGTGAGAGTGCAGTGACATTAGCCTAGCTCACAGCAGTCTCCTGCCATCCTCCTGCCTCAGCTTCCCCAGTAGCTGGGACTACAGGTGCATGCTACTCGGCCCAGCTAACTTTTCTCTTTTTAGTAGAGACGGGCCTCACTCTTGCTCAGACTGGTCTCAAACTCCTGATCTCAAGGAATCCTCCTGCCTTGCCTCCCAGAGTGCTAGGATTGCAGGCATGAGCCACCACGCCCGGCCTATCTTTGTTACTTTAAATCATCTTTCCTACTAAAGCTATTACTCTAGTACAGGTCCATTGGCCATTGAATCCTTTTTTAAAAAAACTGATTCCTAGTTTGGGATTATAGTCTATTTCTCTCTGTCTTGATATTGCTTACTTCCAGACACATGGGGTGCTATTGTACTTTAGAAGAGATATTTTTAAACCATTAAAAAAACAAAGAGGCAACCTTTAATTACTTTGCTTTGTCAAGGAGAACTCATGCACTTTATAATCCCACAAATCAAATGTAATAATTTATGACCTTACTTGTATTTTGCAGAAAAATACTCATTCATCTTTGACATTCGTGCTTTCTTTTTCTGCTGTCTTGTTTCAGGGTTAAAGTCAGCTACCTGTGGGCCAGGGTTTTGAAACGCCAAGCATTTTAACTGCCGCTCTATTTGTTGCTGTGAAACAAATAAAACATATTAGCAGTAAGAACCGGATAGTTTTATCTGTTTTACATTGTCTCAAAATGAACCATCTCTAACTTTCGCCATAATGGCATGCAAGTATGTATATATGTTTTACACAAAGAAACAGCTGAATTAAGTTTTCGAACACGGTATAAGTTTTCTCAAATTAGAGCATTCTTTCTGAATAAAGACACACATAGTATTTAGTGTGCACAAGTCAATTAAAAAAAAGAAATACATCATATAAAACTCATATAATTAAAAGGTAAAAATAATCAAGGGGGAACAGAAGAATTCTTTTTACACCTGCAAAACAGCAGTCAGCTTTCCAAATTTGATGGGGAGGAACATCAGAACTAGCATTTTACAGTGGATAAGGACAAGGAAGTAAAAGCCCTTCCTCAGCTGTTAGCCGAAGACGCCGGTATAAAGTGTTTCAAACCACACTGAGAACCCAGAGTACACACGGCCCCGCCCTGCTCAGTGCTCTGGGATGAGATTCAGAGCTGCTCCCTGCCCTGGGAGTGTGGGCTCCATCCGGAGCTCTGCTTCAGAGCACAGCCACCCGAAGGACCCACTCTCGGTCAAAGCCCAATAGGAACAAGAGCAATCTTGCTAAAGTGACTTTCTAGAGTGTTCTAGAGTAGTTCAAAGTCTCTGTTTGGGAGCTTTTATAATTAGAGATTAAATAGGGCCTGATCTGGAAGACAAACAACAAAATGCTTCAATCAAATACCGCACTGATAACTTAGTGTGAACATTTGGCACATGTCATAAGGGAAGGGAAGGCTCTTTTGAAGGATTTTAGAAGAAAATAATCTGAGCAGCTCAAAAACATATAGGCTGACAAATACATGAAAGACTACATCTGAACCCAAAAGGGGAACTTTCAATGTATGAATTTCAATGCAACATATTACTTAACAGAATTTCATAGGCTTTTCTGTAGTTTATAATAGTCTAAAATATTATAAATATGTTTCCTTAAAGTTTTCTCTTGGTGTGTATATATGGGTTTTTTTAAAATATAAACTTAACCTTATGAAGCAGTACTGCATTAGGGTTGACTATGAAATAAGAATGACTCAGTACCATTTAGTACTAGTCTCAGTAGCGTAGCGGGAGGCTAAGAACAGAGACACCAGGGTAAGCCTAACTGTGCTCTAGTCTTGGCTCTGCCACTTGTTAGTGCTGTGCTTTGAGCAAGTTCCTACTTCTCTAAGCCTTAGTTTCTCTATTTGTAAGACAGGGTTAGCAACAGTATCTCATAATGACAATTAGATGAATTAATATATACCACGTTTTAGCACCACTACATGAAAAAAATAAGGGTTTGTTAAATTAAACCATTTGAATGTATTCTCCACAAATGTTCTACTCTGAGGGCAGGATTTTACTACTCAGAATGCTGGGCTAAAAATCAGGGCACATGAGGGGTGGGGAGATGGGTGAGGTGAGAGCGGCCCAACAAGAGCAGAGGGAAGAGGAGTGAAAGGTCCATCAGCACCGGGGAGCAGATCTGTCCTGGGAAGTCCTGGCTGGGCCCACCTTCCCAACCAAGTCCATGGGCATCTCAAAGATCCTCAAGTAGGAACACCCCAAATAACACGGAACATACAATCTGTGAGCCATACCAGTTGTTTCTGTCCAATTTGACAGTTTTTCTCAGATGAACTATGATCTGTGTGTCCTTCTTGAATGGAATTGTTTTTCCCTGATTGTTCACTCATTTCTGATTGCTAAAAGAGTAATTGGGAAAAAAGCAAAACACATTAATATCATACATCCCCATGAACTTCATCTACGGCTCTTTTCTGCTCTCCCTCTACATCTCACTTTTTTTCAAAGCCAGATTTCCTGAAACTGCCATCTGCACCCTGGCTCCTTTTCTCTGCTCACTCTTAAGCCCTGTATCTGACTCCCCCAGCCCAGTCTCCTGATGCTCTTCTCTGCCAGGAGTTCCATGAGCAACTCAATTGTATCCCTGACAGTCCTTAGCACCATAGACCCATCTGGAACAGGCAACACTGGGGCCCTTCTTCTCCTGCTTAAAAAGACCATGAATTCTTAGATCTCTGTTCTCCCCCTTGTACCTCCCTTTTTTTTGAGTCAGAGTGTTACTTTGTTGCCTGGGCTAGAGTGCCGAGGCGTCAGCCTAGCTCACCACAACCTCAAACTCCTAAGCTCAAGTGATCCTCTGCCTCAGCCTCCACAGTAGCTGGGACCATCGGCATCTGCTGCCATGCCTGGCTAATTTTTTCTATATATTTTTAGTTGGCCAATTTCTTTCTATTTTTAGTAGAGACGGGGTCTCGCTCTTGCTCAGGCTGGTTTTGAACTCCTGACCTTGAGCGATCTTCCTGCCTTGGCCTCCCAGAGTGCTAGGATTACAGGCATGAGCCACTGTGCCTGGCTTCCCCCTGTACCCTTACTCCCTTGAAAAAAACAAAAGGATGATACATTAATGTCACACATCCCCAGTAACTTAGTGAAAATCTCATCTACCCATGGTTTTAGCTACCACCTGTTCGCCTGTTCTGATATTGCTGCCAAGGCTACTTCTAAAGGCCCTGATCTCCTCACTCAAGTGTTCTGACTAATTTCTAATGCAACTTGTGCTCAATGGAAGTCATCAGTTTTCCATAAAACTTTGCTGCTAAAATGCCTGTAACTTACTTCAAAATACTTCATTAGTGTATAATACAGGGTGTGTGTGTGTGTGTGTGTGTGTGTGCACGCAAGCGCAAGTGTGACTGAGATGGAACCAACACACCATGCTAACTGTGAATGCACAGTCCAGGGCTGGTCTGATCTCAGTGTTCTAACAGAAAGACCACTTTGCAGAGGAGGCTTCCACAAACCCCGCTGCTTTCCCTAACTCTCATAATGCTGACTACAGGGTGCCATTTTTACCAGAGGAACCTAATAGTTAGGCTTCACCAAGTTGGCTTGGGTCATTTGGCACCAAATCCCTGCCAGCCAACTGGAAATTTCATTTCTATCACTGGATCTTCATTCTCCCAAAGTCCAGGGTCAACACCTTTGGACTGCTCATTCTTCTGTATGTCACGTTCCCATTCCCTACATTAGGCTCAAAAGTAATATTGATTTTCCTTTTCTAACATTCCTAACTCTTCTTTTCCATTCTCTATTAAGTAGTCTACCTTAATGATGATAGTAGTAGTAATAATAGTTGTAGTGGTAATAGTAGTAATACCTAACCCCTTACCATCCTCACTTCTAATAAGCTTTAGCCAGGTTTCTTCCTGACTATGGGCAGCTGGCCTCCCTTCCCTTAGAGATCATTCTCTTTGGAAAACTTGCAATTACAAATTCTTCCTCTGCCCCTTTGAGATGCAAATCTTCTCACATACTCTTGTCATTTTATAACACAGGACTGTCCCCTAGGACCTGGAAGCCATTCCTTTGACATGTAGTCATCAGGAAACATAGCACCTCCACCTCCCAGTCTCTATGGGAGGACAGGAGCCTAACTTTGGTAATGCACCCATTAGCAAAAACACATGGCCCAATCATAGAGAATAGTATTTGCAAACTCAAATAACCTAATGTACAACACACATCATTGACCAGTGTTTCCTCCCCCCACCCCCCCATCATTCTCCAGTACATTTCTAGTGGTTCATTCCAGCCCTTTGGAATCTTTCCACTCTTTGTTTCAGTGGAGTTGAATTTAGACTAAGTTCTGGCCTCTCTCCCCTATTGCAATGCCAGAATAGCCTTCCTTGCCTGGTTAAAAAATACACTTTGTCCAGAACAAGTTTTGCTTTGATACCCTCACATGAAATTTAAGACCTGATCAACCAAGTATTTCTATGAAGTATCTTTCAACTTGTAAGAATATAAAAATTATGTAGGGTTGTTTTTAAAATCATAAATTCTCCGCTGAATTCTAAGCCTACTTGGTTTGTAATTTTCAGGGGAGATTCTTGGTAATATGTATAGTTAATAAGCTCTCCAGGTGAATCCTCTTGTTAGGTAATTATGGGAAAGATTGGGGTAGGGAAAGTAGGTAGGCTTTTCTCCATTCACTCTGGCCAGTGATCATAAAACTGTTGTCCACACAGATGGCTCCCAACTTAAGATGGTTTGACTTACGACTTTTTGACTTTGCCATGGTTCAAAAGCAATATGCATTCTGTACGTTTGTTGACTTACAAGGGGACTATGTCTGAATAAACCCATCATAAATTGAAAATATCTTAAGTTGAAAGTGCATTTTCATCTATATATAACCCCATTGTAAGTCAAGGAACATCTGCAGTTTTTTCCCATCCCCAATTCTCCTAATACATTTTAGCCACGTTAATATTCCCAAATCAGAAATTTCTTTATCTCATTCCTATTAAAAGATTTCAATGACTTCTCTCTGCAAATAACAACCCACATCCCTGGAATATCAGTGAAGGTCCATCACAGCTGTCCCCAACCTACCTGTGTAGGCTCATCTCCTGGTATACCTACACTTCAGCTAAAGCTACCTGACCCCATTACTCCAAGTAACACACCTCCCAGCCCTACCTAACTGAATTTTCCCTTCCTCTAAGAAGCCCTTCCAGATCCACAAAGATCTCCTTTTCTCTTGGGCTCTGTTTAGTACTTTTTCAAGAAAATCCCCAAAAAGGGGCCCCAAACTGTCCAACTGCTTCAGGTAACAAATAATTTTCCTCCCCATGAGACATCATGAACATCTATACAGGCAAGAACTTTTCCTGAAAAGTTATCAAATTTAACTGCACTGGAAGAAATAAATAATTTATACAGATCCTCTGCCTGAGGCATCTTTGTTTAAAGCCTAGTGAAAGATGGGCTTCCACAAATAAACTGGGGGGAAAAACTTGCTCCTTTGTATTCCAAATTAAGCAAAAGGAATTATAATAGAATTTCACCAGGGACTGACATTATAATTGGATTTTATTACAAGTCCAAATTATCTGTCCCAGGAAAAGTAATAAAAAGGTTCAGAACTTCCCCCTCTTCCCTTGCTTGGTATTCCCAAGGCAGGAATTCCTAACCAGTGAATGCAGAGACATGTCCCAGGAAATAATAGTGACCATTATTTTTAGCAAGTATAGGAACTAAGACTAGAGACAGAATGAGATTAAAATAGCTTGACTCCTTTCTTGGATGAATGTGTGTGCACCTTCTATTTCCAAATACATTTTGAGGAATGTTTTACACATAGTGCTTCTGAATAAATGGTCTTATCTGTTACTGAATAAAAACAGAAACCAATTTTGGGGTTGGAATTTAAACAGAACACCTTCCTTGCTTTCATAATTTGCCAGTGTCCTTAGGGGTAATGGTGGAAAAATGCTCATTGTAGCCCATGCAGGACACAAACAGTTTATGTAAATTCAACTATACCTGCCTGAGGCACTCTAAAGATAAGTGTGAGTGATTAAATCCTGAGTCATTTTGCCCGGAGTTCCCCTCAATGACCTGTGCCTCAGAATGAGTAGGAAGATAAGAGACTGGGACCTGGTGTTGTTCCCCTGAGTGATATGGGTGTGTGGTTCTGAGGTTTAAAGGTAAAAATCATTTATTAATCACAGATAATTCAGCCATCATAGTTCTTGTACATAAGCGAACTACTTCATCTGATGCTCAATCTAAGAAATAATAATCTATTCCAATGCTAGAGAAATACCTGGCTGTGTTGCGCTATTCCAATGTAGCACTTTCTTTTCTTTTCTTTTTTTTTTTTTTGAGACAGAGTCTCACTTTGTTGCCCAGGCTAGAGTGAGTGCCATGGCATCAGCCTAGCTCACAGCAACCTCAAACTCCTAGGCTCAGGCGATCCTCCTGTCTCAGCCTCCCAAGTAGCTGGGATTACAGGCATATGCCACCATGCCCGGCTAATTTTTTGTATATATATTTTTAGTTGTCCAGTTCATTTCTTTCTATTTTTAGTAGAGACGGGGTCTTGCTCAGGCTGGTTTTGAACTCCTGACCTCAAGCAATCCGCCCGCCTCGGCCTCCCAGAGTGCTAGGATTACAGGTGTGAGCCACCGCGCCCAGCCCAGTGTAGCACTTTCTAAAGGAGTTTTCAAGGGTGATTTTGTCTATATGTGTGACTGCTATGGACTGAACTGTCCCACCTACTCCTGCAAATTCCTACGTTGAAGCCCTAATTACAGTGTGGTTATATTTAAAGATATGGACTTTAAGAGGTAATTAAGGCTAAATGAGGTCATAAGGGTAGCAGCCTAATCTGATAGGATTGGTGGCTTCATAAGAAAGGAAGACAGAGCTCTGTCTTTCTGTATGTACACAAAAGAAGAGGCTTTATGAGGACTGAACGGGAAGTGTAACACTGCTCCCAGAAAACTAAAGACTTAACAGAAATAGGGATTCACATGTAAAAACGGAGCTGACTATAGAAGGAAGATAGGTCATGGAGGGGCATTCCAAGCAAAAGGACTCACACTTTAATCACTTACGAGCAATAGCAGCTATATGGTTGCATTGTGTTCCACAGATGATCACTTACACTTACACTTTAGGGTGTAATCACTTACACTTACTTTTAGGGTGCCCCAGGCAGGTATAGTTGAATTTACATAAGTTGTTTGTGTCTTGCATAGGGCAGAACCAGTATTTTTCCACCATTACCCCTAAGGACACAAGCTAATTATCAAAGCAAGAAAAGTACTCAGTTTAAATTCTAGAGATCAAAAAGTTGATCTCTATTTTTATTCAGCAGCAGATATGCCAT